GGGGGAGCCGCTCGGAGCCGGGGCCCTGAGGGAAGCGCTGAGCGCGCTTGGGCCGGCGCCGCGCGGAACGGGGTGTCGGAGGCGGGTTTCTCTACTGTGGAGCCAGGTGACCGTTGGGTTGCCAGGGGATCGACACCGTAATCGAGCAGCTGCCATCAGCCCGTCCCGGTCCGTCTCCCCTTTCTGCCCCGCTATTTCCCACCCTCCCCGCCTAGCGGATGAGCGTGGGCTCGGGCGGGGTGATGGGACGGGGGCACCCGGAGTTGGAAGCTCCTTTGATGGAGTGATGAAAGGTGGGGAGAGTCTGTCTCCTGATTCGGGGGTCACTTGGGGAATGATTTTCACGCAGCTCCGTGGCTTTGTTTTGTTTTTCTGGGGGAACTGGAAGTGAATTCAGTCTCTCTTGGTGAGTTACATGGAAGAGGTGAAATTCATCTTGTTTTGATGATTTATTCTTAGGGTGGGAGCCGAGGAATTTAATCTCCTTTGGCTTCCTATGAAATAAAGTGTTCAGTAACTTCTCAGCCTTCACATTCCCCCCCCCCCCCCCCCCCCTCTATGATTACCCTTGTGAATACCCTGCACCGTTAAGAATCTTGTCCTCCCCCAAATTTCTTTCCTCAATTGTTCTTGAAGATTCAATTTCCAATTAAACAGCTAGAATAGTTGGGATTGGTCCTGCCTTGGGCAGGAGGCTGGACTTGATGACCTCCTGAGGTCTCTTCCAGCCCTATGATTCTAATTGGTTTTATGCTTCACCCCAGAGTTCGCTGCTTTTCAGTGATGGGTGAAAACTAGTATTCCTGTGGCACCTTGGAGACTAATATATACATAGAGTAGCATAGTTTTTGTGGGCAACCCCAGCCCCCCCCTTTTTTAAGGTAAGCTTGGAGGTGAGGGGACTTTTTATGTACCTTGTCAGTCTGAACTTGTGAAATGCTTTGTGATTATTTTGAGATGAAAATTGTCAGACAAAATATTAAACAATATTTTAATTTTTCCTCTAGTTTACATGATCACTTATTTTTAAAACATAGTATGTATACCCTATGTGGGTCTAACTGTCTAGGAATTTAAGGAAAAAATTGACCTATTTTACATATAATATGAGAGTTTCTTGTAATTATTTTCAAGGCTGCATTTTTCTCGGATAACCCATCTCATTTTTTTCTCAGAAAACTATTTTTAAAATATTTAAACATACACAATCCTATTTTAGTTATTCATTTAGCAGTTGGTCATCAGATGAACATTTTTATTAAAAAGAATGTTCTCATTGCTTTTTTCAGTGGCAGATAGTATTTCTGTAAATGGTATTGTGAATTAGTTTAGTTTAAGTATGTTTTTAGCAATTGAATTGTTTGAGGGGAAAATAAATGGAGGGTAAGTGAAATTGTGAATTTTCTTCTCTAAGTTTAGAATTTAGCATACTAATTGTAATATAAAGGCTTGACTTAATTTAACTTTAATTTTAAAAATTGACAGATAATAGATTATTTTCAAGTATTTTTTCATTTTTTAAAAATTTTTCACAGATGCAGGAATTTAGAGGGGCAGACATTCATTTAATGACTGTAAATGTTAAGATTAGGAATGTTAAATATCAGTTAATTGAATAGTCGAGTAACCTCATGAATTCTTATCGGTTAGTTGATGATTCTGTAATCCCTTGGAGTGGGGCTGGCAGAAGCATGGGATGCCAGGCAGGAGCTAGTTTGCAAGGGGAGGCAGTTTAAAAACTAGCTCCTCTTGCACACTGGCTGCTTGTTGCCCTGTGCTGCTGATTCTGACAGAGGCAGCCATGCGGGGTGGCAGCAGCCCCTTTCTGGAGGGAAGGGGATCTGACCTCCCAAACTCTGCGCGAACCGGAACTGAGCTGGGCTGCCTGCCGCCTGGCTCCTAATGCACTTTAAATGCAGAGCTGCAGCGGGAGTAGGTCCCGTACCCTGTGTGAGCCAGAACTGAGCTGGGCTACTGGCCAGCCTACTAAAAAATGTACTGATTGGGGGGAGGGAAATGCGTGTAGTCTATAGCATTAACCTATAAGCTTTTGCTTATCAGTTAAACAGTTAACCAACTACACTGTTATTTCCCTTGTTAAGATCAAAATAATTTTAGCTTTATAACATAAAACAAATTGTCAACATCAAAAATCAAAATATGCAAAGTAAATATCTTTAAATCAAACTCTAATAGTTTCTCAAGCACCATGTTTCTTTGCTTATCTGTAAATTTCGGTTATTATCAGTATTTTTTTTTCCTGGGTTTGTATGTGTATGAGAAATCGCTGTTTACTGACATTCAGATTGCGGTCAACTGTTTTAGCATATACAAGTCTGGAAATGGATAGTTGGCCTTTGGATCTTTCCATAAGAACAAATATAATAGTATCTTCCATGCACTAATTACCTTTTCGGATTTAGCTGTTAGACCTTTCTCTGGGGTTTCCAAAATAGATTAAACTGAAAGCTGCTTAGCTACA